TGAAACCTCAAAGTAGTAATTAAGTTAATTTCTTCAAATTTATCTACAGATTGAATTCAATGCAAGTCAAAATCTCTCCTGTCTTTGGTAGAAATTGACAAGTTGATTCTAAAATTTATAAATAAACCAATCTTGAAGAAGAAAACAAAGTTGGAGGATTTAAACCACCCAATAGGAATACTGATTTTAACACAGTAGTAATGAGGGTAGTGTAATATTGGCACAAAAACAGTCAGAGATCAATGATACTGTAGAGTCTAGAAATAGACCAACACTTTTATGCTCACCTGATTTAAGACTACATTGGGAGAAAATGGTCAATTAGATAACCATATGATAAAAAATTAAATTTTGGTTCTTACTCCATACCATGTAAAAATAAGACAGTTTTAGGTGGATTAGAAATTTAAAGAGGAAAGATAAAATGATCTATTCATCAAAATCCCAAATGTCCAAAATAGGTTCAAATATAGGTTAATTAATAAATCATTACCATTAAATATATTTTTGAAAAAATGTTTAAAAGCATAGAAAATGTCAAAACTTTTCCAACTCATGTATAATATGGATGTAAAGCTTGGAATAAACCAAAATAACATTAAATGGAGTTATCTTTAGTTGGTAGAAATATTCACATTTGCCTTCTTTATCTTTTTTGTATGTAGTTTTAAACTTAATACAATGTGTACAAATATTTTTAACCTGGAAAAAAGGTTTTTTTTAAAAAACTTGCACTAACTAGTTTATAACTCAACTGATATTTTTTATCTCATGTACATGTACTTAAAGTCATTTATACCATCTGGTCATTGCAAATGTACTTCCCAAATGATAAGTATGATAAGTATGACCCACCTGACCCAAGTTAGTATTTTTTTTACGGTGTTTTAATAAGCCCGAACATTATTTATTTGCTTGTTTTTACTTCACATATTTGATTTTTCCAGACACACATTGAGAGTGATTCAAAAATTCATGGATTTAAATTTTAAAACTCTGACTGTGTTCTTAAAATAAAGGGGATTTCCACCAAGATGGCCGAATAGGAACAGGTCCAGTGAGCAGTTCCCAATGAGAGCCATACAGAAGCTGCGTGATCTCTGCATTTCCAACTGAGGTACCAGGCTCATCTCACCTGCAAGTCTACAGTAATCTAAACATCATGGTACTGGAACCAAAACAGAGATATAGACCAATGGAACAGAACAGAGGCCTCAGAAATAATGCCAAACATCAACAATCATCTGATCTTTGACAAACCTGACAGAAGCAAACAATGGGGAAAGGATTCCCTATTTAACACATGGTGTTGGGAAAACTGGCTAGCCATATGCAGAAAACTGAAACTGGATCCCTTCCTTACACCCTATACAAAAATTAAGTCCAGATGGATTAAATATATAAACATAAGACCCAGCACCATAAAACCCTAGAAGAAAACCTAGGCAATACCATTCAGGACACAGGCATGGGCATCATTAGCCTCTAGGCAAAGCCAAATAACTGTAATAACCTAATACTACCAGACTAGAAGAATGGCTAAAATAAAAAATAGTGACAATAACAAGTGCTGGTAAGGGTTTAGATAAATAGAATCGTTCATACAATGTTGGTGAGAATAAAAAATGGTACAGACACCATGAAAAACAGGTTGACAGCTACCTTAAAATCTAAACATGCAACTACCATAAAACCCACTGACTGCATTCCTGGGCATTTATACTGGAGAAATGAAGGCTTACATTCACACAAAGAAATCTGTACATAAATGTTTGTAACAGCTTTATTTGTAATAGCTCCAAACTGGAAATTACCCTGATGTCCTTCAATGGGTGAATAAACAAATTGTGGTATATTCATACCGTAGAATACTACTCAGCAATAAAAGGGTATTAATATACACAACTTGAGTGAAACTCCAGGAAATTGTACTTAATGAAAAAAAACAATCCCTAAAATTTACATTTTTATATGATTTTATATCCTGAAATGACAAAATTGTAGAAATGAATAGCAGATTAGTGGTTTGCTAGGATTAAGAAAAAGGTGGGAGCCAGAGTAAAGTGGGTGTTGCTGTAAAAGGGAACATGAGGGATGCTTGCGAAAATAGAAATCTTGACTGTGGAGTTGTATAATGGTATTGCAAAATGTTACTACAGGGGTAGAAGGGACTGTGTAAAGATGCACAGATCTCCCTTCATTACTTCTTACAATTACATGTGAATCTGTAATGATCTTAATATTAAAACTTAAAAACTTAAGCTATAATTATAAGCCTCCATATATATTAGTTTTTAAAAAATCAAAAAAAAATGGATTAGGCGAACATTACACAAAAAAACAGAAAACATCTCGTGAAATAGGTTAATTGGTTTTTCTCTGCCACTAGGTAGACATAGTTCAGTGTAACTTCATGTACTTGAGATAGTAATCTGGGAGACAGCCACTGTCAACTGTTCATTTCTACTGTTGGTTTATGAACTTCTACATATGATACATCAATAAGCCTTCTGTACAGTCACCTTTAAGTAGTGTAATAATTATACCAACTTCTTACAAGTAAAAAGAAAACCTGTACAGCTGGATTTCAACTTTTTAATGAATTCTACTCTAAGTCTACTAAGCCTGAGCAAGACCTCAGTAGGAAGAGTACAATTATGAGCATTGTAGCATTCTGTGCAAAGAAGACTAGTATCTGGACAAGTCAAGTAACCTTAACAGAAGCAGTTCTCTGCATAATTGAAAAGAGCTTGGTTACATGTATCTTAGAAAAAAAATCATTTCTCTCTGAATAGAAATTGGTATAATGAAAATATCCTCTAATTGTATCTGTTGACACAATGAAATGCAACAAATACCTAAGTAAGGTAGTTGTTCAATGTTAGCTCAGCTCAGTAATAGACCGATTTATCTTTGAGCTTTATGATTTGGAACTTAAGTACTTGAGGCTTAGACAAGCACTGTTATCAGGGAACAACACACAAAAAGTAGCTGTCATGAGATTTAAAAAACAAATCCAAGAAATGATGATAAAACTACAGAATTATTTTGATCTGTTTTAACAAACAGCTTCTGAAGGTGTCAACTTCTTTATAAATAATGTGAATCAGAAGTCTGAAGTTTCACTAAGTACCTGATTGTCAGAATACCTAGAAAATATGCCTAACAGCACGTATATCTCTTTTTCACTCTCTCTTTGTTCTGTTTTCACCAAATATGTAGGATTCATATATACTTTTAATATTAGAAGGTTTCTCATCCTCAGTACAGTATTTTCCTTCATGTTCTAACCTTATAAAAATAGTTCTTTTAAAATAGCAATTGCCCATTGTTTTAGTGGGTAAGGTTCTGACAACCATGGCATATATTTGGGTTACCCTGGTCCTTACTTTTTCATAGTCACGCAGGAAATGAGGCAGGAACAATAAGGATCTGATGAACATAAATCTCTTGATCCAATTATCTTCCACCTGGGACCATACTTTACAGCTGCAAATCTGCTCACTCTCCCTATATGGAGCTTGAAAATACTTGTCTTCGGTTCTTCCACAGGAAAGCTACTATATTGCTATTGTCCGCTCTTGATAAGTATTTTCTAATTTCTTCTTCAAACCTAGTTGAAATTCGAATTAAATATGCATCCCCCTATAATTCCTTGACTCAAGGCAGCATCACACACTGACTGTTTTTGTTGTCATATTACATTGATCCTTTAAAATCAGCTTCAGATACAGATCTTCAAATCTGACTCAGGACCAGGGTCATATCTAGTAAGGTTATGTAGAGGAAGTCAGCTAAGATGAGTAAAAAAATAAAGCGTTACTTTCTCCACTTGAGGGTGCTTCCTTGTTTCTCTATGGAGTCTCCATCTGGCTTCTTAGCCAAATGATAACATTACAAAACAGAGGAGATAACTGAAGGCTTGCCCTAACCATTCAGCTGGCTTAAAGGTATCAAGTAATTTAAAGAACTAATTAAAAGCTTTCCTGAGTTATTGTACTTTAGATAATAAACCTGATAGTTGGATTCAGAATCAAATTATTCACTAGAAGTATAAACTTTGATATAGAAGCTTGGAGTAGGTCTGGTCTAATTAATGTTAACACAGAGACAATTTACATACACAAATGAAAACTTGTGAACTTCTTGTGAAATAAGTGATAATTTTGTGTAAAATTGTGAAAAACGAGGGATAACTTTACCTCTGACACTGTAAGCTAACTTTCTCAACAAATACCAAAGGAACGAAATAATTACTTCAGTCTAAATCTAGTTACTTTGTTTTTATGAGCACCTGCATTTTAACAGATTAAAAGAACGTAACTGACAACATTAATCAGTGAATTAGTTTGAATGACTGGAAAATATAGTGTCCATAAATCCAAGAAAATAAACATTTTCACATGGGACCAATTTATTGCATTTTTTCTAGCCATACATCTATATTCATAATACATAAATTCATTTTTTAGTTTTAGACAGGGTCTCACTCTGTCACTCAGGCTGAAGGGCAATGGTGCTATCACAGCTCACTGTAGCCTCAACCTCCTGGGCTCAATTGATCTGCCTGCCTCAGTCTCCCCAAGTGCTGGGATTGCAGGGCATGAGCTGTTATGCCAAGCCATAAATTTCTCTATATATAAAACAACATTCTATATACACTGGGGAGAAAACTGTTTTAAGCAACCTAGATAAGAGTTTTAGAAAACAAAGATATTAGGTAATGAAAATAACTGTTATATACTAATAGACTAATAATTATTGCCTTTCAGTAAACTTGTGCATCTGGACTATATATTAACTATCTGACAACAATTAAAATGTCACTTTTCAGAGAATCAGAGAATTTCAGATATAAGAGGCTACGTAATCCAGGATCTCAGTCCAAGTTGCACAAATTTAATAACCAATGTTGGCTCTCCAAAGTAGGCCCATGGTAGTGCTTATGTATTATTACTAAAGAGAGAAGAGATTTTCTCATTCAAAATGTTCCTAAAGTAGTGCTTGCTTCAGCACCACATGTACTAAAATTGGAATGATACAGAGAAGATTAGCTTAACCCCTATGCAAAATGTTTCTTAAACTGTATAGATTTATGTGCCTAATTTTCCCAGTAAAAGTCGCCATTTTAGATCAAGGTGCAAACACTCATATTTAAACATGTTTTTTGCCTTAAGTGATTTTTTCAGATTGCCCTTAAATTCTTTAGCAAGGCTTATAAATAGCAGCCATAGATAGATGATTTAGGAGAAGGACTAAGTAAAGCCTAAGACTATAAGCTCCTATAGAACCTACAAGTAAGGATTTGGGCCTGACATTCTCTTGCTGCTGTAACAGTTTAGCACAAATTAGGAGGCTTTAAAAGAAACATTTATTATCTTCTACTTCTGTGGGCCAAAAGTGTGAGCATGACTAGGTTCTTTGCTTAGGGTTTTATGATGCCAAAGTCAAGCTATCAAGCAGTCTAGCTTTTGTCTGGATGCTCTGGGGGACAATCCCTTTCCAGACTCAAACAAGTTGTCTTGTGAAAAATCAGTTTTGAGCAGCTGTAGCACTGGGGTCACTGTTTTCTTTCTAACTGTAAGCCAGGGGTTGTCCTCATGTTGTAGAGACCACCCATAATCTACAGCTTTTGGACCACTGGGGTTGGAGTCCCCTCCATCTTAAAGGCAAAAGATGTACAGAATCTTCATCTGCTTCTCCTGCATCTTCCTGCTTTGAATCAATTTCTTTTCCTTCCTCTTCTGCCACCCTCTTCTGTTCTTAAAGGACTCAAATGATTAAATTGGGCCTACCCAGATAATCCATGAAAAACTCCCTCTTTTAAAATCAACTGATCAGTAACCTTGCTTGTATCTTTGAAGTCCCTTCTCAGAAGTATCAAGGCTACTATTTAAACAATTAAAGATAAGAACCTTGACGTAACTTCTTTAGATTATTGCCTGCCACAGAATTCCAGAAGCATATCTACTGCACTGAGTGAAAAGTGGGGAAAGGAAAACCAACTTAGCAGAATTATTTATGAAAGCAGCCATCAACCCAAAACTACTTTTTAAAAGAATTTTGGACTTTCAGGGTTTGGATATTTTGTAGTTTTATTTATTTTTTTTCTTTTCAATGTGAGATTTATTTTGTAATGTAAGCTCGATCATTACAGAAAATTTGAAAAAATATAGAATAAAAATATGAAAATGTCAACCATGGTCCCAACATTCAAAGACAACAACTTTAACATTTAATGGGCTGCTTTTCACATGCTTACAAAGTTTGGCGTGCCTGCTTCATAATTTCTTATGCCTAAGCAAAATTGTAATCACATTTGTTTCGATTTCCAAACAGCAGAAAATTACCTCTGGGAGAGTTGTTCCCTAGAGAATTTTGGGGGATTCAAAATACTTTATTTATACCTATCATTAGTGATAATAATTCATTGACCTTCTTGTTGAAAGTTGCATACATGGGTAGAGGAGAAAAAAACTCAATCTTCTTACAGATTAATCAAATGGCCAGTTCAAATAGATGTGGTGTGGTAAAATGGTGATTTCTTCAAATCTTGAGATGCTAGTTGGTGATATGTTTGTTACTGTGAAAGGTCTATTGAGCTGTTAAATCTCCAAATTTCCAAAGTCTTTAATTGTTATTTGGAGTTTTCACTGTCAACTGGAATATGATTCCAAATAACTTTATGAAGTATATACAAAGGCATTTAATCTGAATCTTAATATAAGTGAAAGTAGTTTATTATTGCCTTCACATTTAAAATACATCTTAGCTGGATGTAAAGTATTAAATTGCAAATTTTCTCGATCAAAACTCTAAACCTTAGCCTATTCAATTTTGGCATTTGTTGTAAATAAGACTGAATTCAGGACAATTTGTGTTCTTCTGGAGATAAGCAGAATTTTCTACCTGGATACATATAAAAGTTTGTTTTAATATGTCATTAAAGTCGAAAATGGTTCAAGTGTTTTCTAGATATAGGTATCTTTGTATGCTTTTTTTCTTACAAAAACAGTATTTTTATCTGTATCCTGTGTTCTATTATGAATTACAAATAAATCAGTCCTGTATTACTGCCTCTGATTATTTTGGCATTATTTTCAGGGACACTGACAACTCATAGATTAAATCTTTACTTTCCAACTCCACATGTGTTGTAGTCTGTGTCACTGTTTTAATCCTGTTTCCCCTTGTACATTGTGGAAGAGTGACTCTGAAGGGGTGACTCAGGTATTCCACAGCATTGATCCAATTTCTCAGTGTCAACTCAGTTATTGCACTTTCACTTTCCCCGAAAACATTACTATCTCTCCTTTTCTACAAAATTCTGTGGGTTTTGTTTCTCTTTCATAGAATCTATTTCTTACTAAAGATGTCAAATAGGGTTTTATAATTTCCTTCCAGTTCTTAGAGGAAATGATTTTCAAGAATTTCTGAATTTTCAAGATGTTAGCTTACCATTGTTTCACAACATTAATTCATAACCCCAGGTTGTCTGTACAAATCTCCTAGGAAGGTGAGAGCTATATCCAGTCTGTACTGGCCAACAGGCAATGGCAACTTATAAGAATATTGTTGATCTTGTTATCTGTGCATTCCAGTGCCAGTCAACTCTCTTAAATGGCAAACTGAAAATATAATTGAGGCTTTAGATTTTGAAACAGATTTGATTTGTTAAAAATGCTTTTCTATCAGGCAGCTCTTTCAGAAGAGCTTGCTTAATATTTCTCTAATTAGACAAAAAACTTAATCTTGACTGCTCTAACTATAGTTAGCATGATCTAATGAGAATTCAGGAAGACTTAGTTTTGAATCTCCACTTAATCACTTTCTAGTTGTATAGCTTTTAACAAATTTCACAATTTCATTGAATTAGTTTTATAATCTCCTACTTCTCAAGATGATCATGTGAATTATATGAAATGGCACATTTAAAGCTCATGACACTGACTAGACCACATAGAAGAAAGTAAGTGGTAAGCTTAGTTATTATTATACTCCCAGGAGTGATGAGTCACTTTCAATTACTCTTTCTTTTTATATAGGTTATTCTCTTTTATGTGGCAGATTTCCGTTAAATATAAAATTCAAATTTATACTTACGGATGTTATGGGGAGGGGCTAAGGTTAGTATGTTGCCTCAGTAAGTGGCATACTCCTAAGAGAGAGAGTCAGTTGCCTTTTCTGTGGATATAGATCTTGAATTTAGGAATCAGAAGGCAGAATGTTTCTCCTAATGAATTGCATGCATGGGGCTGTTTAAAACTATAAATTTTATTTTTCAATCCCATTTCCTTAGGCTCTTTGGTCATAGAAAATCCCTCAAGTTTATCAAATACGTTGACAGTTATCTCTTATTGTTAGTGTGAGTTTGTAATATGTGTGTACCCATGCCTTAATAAGTATATTTGTGGGTAGCTGTTGTACTTCAGAGTGTTGCTGTTAGATATCATTTTGCGGGGGGGGGGCAGGGGGAAGCTATATTTTAATAAAATTCTCTTCTTTAACTAAAAATTATTGATGTCATGTTGCCGAATTTCCAGTGGGGTTTTTTTCCAGATGGCAGTTATGAGATAAATTCGTCAAATTCATTTGAGAAATACTGGATTGGAACAAAAATGAATAATTTATTTATTCTATTACTACATAAGACCTATAATATGCTATTGTGCATTACAAATCTCTGAGGGAGGCATAGCATATAACACTTCTCATGTTAGTTGCACCTCAAAAATAGTTTGAGAGGTAAGTGAGTAGCTGCAGTGAGCGCTCTGAGTTCTGCTGAGAAACCTTCACCTCCCCTTCTTGGATACTGTGCCCCATCTTCCAGCTTCTCCTCATTTCTCTCCTAAAATTTCTCACCTGAAAATGACTTCTGGGATCTCTTTTAAGCACTACAACTGTCTTTCCAGTTGGAAGAGCTAGAAATGCATGGAAATTTACATTTCCACTCAATCCCACTTCTACACATTCCCAATTCCTGACCCACAGACAATGACTGGTGTCAGGGTACAAAAGTCCAACTCTTTTGCTGAGAAAACTCTCAGTCATACTCTAGAACTCCCCGTGGCTTAGGCTGAGTACGGGACATCACTTGAAGTTATTAATACAAACTTCCCTGGAGATTGCCTTTTCTTCTCTGCTTCCCCTCATTTGCAACCACCAGCCATTTCTTCTTAATAAATCACTTGTTCCTAAATTTTTGCCCCAGGATCTCTTTCCGGGAGAATACAATCTAAAGCAGTAGAATATTTTGGACCAATAAATTCAGAAAAATAATTGGAAATACTGCTGTATAGCATGATAATTGCCTTCAGGACACCTGAAAGTGGGTTTTAGAATCTGTGTTTCAACAAGCACCTCAAGTAATTCGATGCAATTTCATGTTTAAGAATAAAGTAACAAGAAGTATATATTAATTCATTTTAAATAAGTATTTATAAAGAAAGTCTTTTGCAATTGCTCATTGGTTTTAGCCTCTGTTATTGCATTATTCAGACACATTTCTGTACTTTCTTTTAATGACTTTTACCCTTTTTTTCTCAGTTATTTTAAGCAATCACTTCAGCAGAGTTTCACTACTAAGAGTAAAATTTATATTAACCTATTTGAATTTCAAATAATAGTCTATTAGAGCTGGGTGAGACCTTAATGATCATATATTTTAACCCTGTCATTTCAAAGATGAGGAAACTTAAATTTAGAGAAGAAAAGTTATGGCCCAAGGTCATGCAGAGCTATCCCTTGTCTTTGAATCTTAGTCAGGTATTTAATCTTTACACAAGGGTGCCTTTCTAAATTTATAAATAATGAGTGAGCTGGAATGCATTACATTTGTGGAGTGTTCATTTTAGCTATAATTCTATTCACAAAAATGTGATCATTGCCTTACATAGAGCTCTTATTTAATATTTTAAACTCCAAATTGAAATGTGATTTTTCTGTTTATCTTGAGAGGAAGAAAGAAAATATTTAAAAATTCATATATGCAGCAAAATGCAATGAAAATTACTAACACTTCCCATGATTCCATTAATTTGTTTTAGTTATTGTAATAAACAATATTGGCCTTCCAATAGAAAGGAAACTCTTCTTTGTTCTAAAAACACA